GGAACATGAGCCGGCTTTTCCAGCACTGTGCATCCCCCCGCCTTGCCACACTGGGGGTTATTGAGGCCTTCTACCCACACACACACATTCTTACAGAACCAAATAACAACCCATTTTGCTACAGATAAAGCAAGCCCAGGGGAGCTTTACTTGCAGGGATAGGTATGACTGTCTGAGGGGACCAGCAGCAGCTCACCTGCTGTAGTGTTTTGAGGTAAAGCTGCCTAATTATTTTGATTACCCCATGTTGTTGTGTTAACCAAATATTTGTCTTTCTGCCTCACACACACATCTAACACCAATATACAAATTGCACAAGGGGATTATGCCAGCATGAGTCAATCTCGGGTGTGTTTATCCATGGAGAGACATAAGCCTGTGTTTCTAGAGGCGGGTGTATCTTATTCTTGTTAGACCTATGAATATATTTTGCCAACTAAATTTGTCACTTTTCACTGTTGACATATTTGCTGCTAGCACGAGCACTGCAGACTGGCAGGCTAACAAGCAGGCTAGGGGATAAATCCTCTGTGGCTATCATTATTTAGTATTTATATTACTACAGAACACAGCAAATGTTAAAGAAAACTTACCAAAAAATCACTAGATCTTTCTAAAAATAAATGCCAGCATCTTTTAAATTTTACAGACTACCAAAATGTGCTTTTCAAGCTTTCTTAGTGTTTAAAGTTTTTGTTTGGTGTGACAGCTGAGATTGTTTACTCACGCAACTCCAGGAGGTGAGGGTTTTCCAAGATGAGCATCATCTCAATGGTCCTCCTTCCAGGCCAGCTTCCAAATTGCTTTCTTCTAACCTGTCCACATAAAACATAGACCAGAGCTAAGCAGATCGGTTTTTTTATCCTCCTATTTGTGGAGCAAGAATCATTTCTCTTACATTGCCCAAGCACAACAGCTTTCCCCCATCCATGCAAATGGATGGGGTAATCTTTTATTTATTTCTTAAAAAAGATAGTAGGATTCTTGTAATTTTTATTTCGCTCCCTCCATTATTCTAACTTCAAAGTTCCCTTTATTTATTCAAGGTTTCATTGATAAATGTTATTTCTAACATTGTGAATTTGATAATCCATCCTTCTGACATTTTAACTGGCAGAAGATCCCTAATTAATCCCCGGGTTCTCTGATGACAGGTGATACACAGGCGGGAGAAATAAGCTGATGGAAAAAGTGGGTGTTTTGCCCGCCCAATTGGGTCTCTAACATAATTAGTGCATTAAAATCACAAAAGGGGCAGCTGTGCAGAAAACAGGAAAACACCAGTCTGTAGAAAAGTGGACCCATCCTAACCATTTCTTTAAAGGTGCACGACCAAATTTTAAACCATTACAAAATGGTTTGGCTCAATTACAGGCAACAGAGATATTTAAACTGAGGAAAAAAATGGTAAGGATTTGGTCCATGGCCATCTCCTCACCAATTTAACTTTCCCTGTATATCCTAAAAAGAATATTCAACAGCACTTCTAAAAATAGGACTGAGGTTTCTCAACTTCACAGCAGACAGGCGCATCAGAACTACTGTGTATTGTGCTGTGCTGAGCTGAGAAAGGAACACTCGTAGCGTCTGTGTAGGAGGAAGCCTTTGAGGGAAAAATCATAGATAATAAAGGCCTCTTTTATCTAAAACACCTAACATTTCAACTCTTCAAATCCCAACACTGCATTTTCTTAAAACAGGTTTCTATTATCTGTGTTAAACACATCAAATTGAGTAATTCAGTCTCATCACCTAAATTCAGTGTTGTGATAGCTGAATGAAACTGGGGCAAGCCAGCTAAAAAGGTATAACAAGCCTTTCTCTAAAGTAGCAAGTGGAATGCATCAGTGCTTTTCTTTCTTTGAGGAAGAAAAAGAAAAAAGAGAAAGAAAAAAAAACAAGAAAGTCTCTGCTTTTCCCCAACGTGCTCATGTTACCAAGCTGAAGACTCACGATATGGTCTGTAGGGCAGGACTCGCTAGGAATGATTAGTGAGATTAGGGCTTTATTATGGTTAGCAAAGACAAATCCTTGTCCCTGTGAACTCAGTCTGTGTGAACAAGAGGCCAAGGGTGTGGGGTGGGATGTGGAAAAAATCCTTTCAGTTCTTAGATCAGTGGCTGAATCAAGTATTTAGCAGACCTGGTTTAGGCATTCAACCTTCTTTTGTCATTTTCAAAACTATTGTTTTTCTATATACAAAAAGGCCACTGTTTGAATGATGGACACTGTGTCTGTACGTCCCCCAACTCAAGAAAAGAAGAAAAAAGATTGTTTTCCCCTACAGAACACAGTTTGTGGGTCTACCACAAACACAGCACATTCAAGTGAAGTCCTAACAGGTGTGTATCAATAAATATATCATATATAACATGAAAGTGTTACTTTCCAAAATCTCTGGGTAAAAACACAGCTCAGAGTGCTCATATGGCTACCCTAGCACTGACAAATTCTATTTATCTTTTCAAGCTAAGAATTCAAAATGTTTATTTTTTATAGACAACTAAGATTAAAGACAAATTATTCAAGATCATACATGAAGTCTGTGGTGAATTAGAACCTGACCAAGTTAACCTTTTGATAGACATGTTTTTTCTCCCTTTTTCCCCTCATAGTAGAAATACACTATGTTCAGCAAAAGACTGTGACAAATCAAAACAGGGTCAACACACCAGTATTTCACATTGCCTATAAAACGTGCAAGCCATGGGGAAATACTGCGCAGGAGGCACAACAAAATGGAGCTGGAATCATCATCCTCTCTACACACTCTGTGAGCAGAACCCGGGCACTATCGGTGCAGCACTGCAGCGAGCAGCGCTCGGAGTGTTCTGTGCCTCGGGCCAGCGCGGCAGCGTCGCGGGCACGCGAGCAACGCTGAGCCGGGCCACGAAGGCAACGCGTGGAGCGCTTACTCAGCACATTTTTCCATAGGGCCTGCAGGGCAGGCTCCAGCGCCGGGGGCTGGAATGCTGCCCGCTTATGGCAGGCAGTTAATGAGGTCGGCACTCCCCTGCAATGCACAAGCCCTCCTGGAGAATGCAGGGTGTCCTGTGATGCACACTCCACTCTTTTTCCTAGTGTGCTTCCTTGCTCAACAAACCTGGCTTATCTATTAGCTTCGGAATGTTCCCAGAGATGTCTGTGAGAATAATATCCCTGCAACGTTCGCCAGCTCCACAGTCACCTGCATTTGAGCACTTCTGTCTACCAGTCTTTCAGAAATTAAGATTTTAATTGTTGGCTTTCCAGTGGATTTCCTAACAGGAGGGGGAATAGATAAAGATCTTTTTAAAGGATTAGGAAAACTGAGGTAGTAAATAGAGCAGTAAGTGACTTTCACGAAACCACAGAACTCACTGGACGAGAAATTAAAGTAAACCCTCATCCAAGAAAGTCCTTACAACATGTATGAATTTGTAGTACGCGAGTAACAATAATGAAACCAAACACCACACTTAATCCACATGCATAAGGAAATCACCAAACAGCATATGCCATCCTGCTTGGTGCAAACACAACTGACCTATCACAGACGCCAGTCTCCAGGTAACCAGGGGAAAGCAGTTAAGCATCAACTAAGCTACCCCGCTCCAGAGACCAGTCGCACTATATACATGTCTCATAACCCATATTCATATCACTCTTTTGGCACAAAACTCATTTCTGCCTTGCACATGTGGCCCAGATATCATTTAAGCTTTTAAAAACTGGTATTGGTATAGCCCCAATACTTTCTGCTCTGTTGTCTGCAGCGTGTGACTGAATTGACTTTTGGAGTTCCTCGTTGCAGGCAGGTGGATGTGGAAATGGTTTGGAAATGAATTTGTCAGGAAAGGTACTCCTTGTGCACCGACATCTCGCAGCCTGCATTAACAAGCTGCTGTTCAGTGTGACCCGTCGGCACCTGCAGCCAAACGCACCTATGACGCGGTGGCCTGCACCACTGCTGCTCTCGTCAGGGTGTTTCCTTCGTGAAAGCCAAGACCACCACAGCTCCAAGGTGTCGTAAAAAAAAGTTCCCTCCTGAGCAATGATACGGATGAACCCACACAACTACTGTGCTCAAGTGTTTATATTCACTAAAAAGGTTTATAATAATGCCCACTTCACATACTAGACCTGCACTTGCTCTTTAGTAAGTAAACGCTTGTGTCAAATAAAACAGACATTGATTTACAGGGTATGCGAGGAAAACTATTTTAGAAAAATCTCTCCACAGACTGTAAAAGGTGACTCAGATAAGGCTAATTCTTCATTTATTCCAGTCTAATCCTACTATCGCTTGAATGACAGCACTTGTATTCACACCACCACAGACCCCGCTGCAGCCCAGCTAAAACAGAGAGGAAATGGCAGCAACGGAGGCTTCAACCCGCACTGGGCGCCAACTGCTGCCGCAGACACGGCGAGGGACAGGGCCTGGGCCTCACCTGGCTGCCTCCTGAGCTGGACCGGGCGGGCCGGGCCAAGCCGGGCCGAGCTGGGCCGGGCCGGCCGCCTCGCACCTCCGGGGCGCCGCGGGGGCACGTGCGGCCCGAGCCGCGCGCCCCAACATGGCCGCGGGCTGAGGGGAGCCGGCGGGCGGCACCTGCGGCGGTGCCGGGGGCCTGAGGCGGCGCCCCGGGGAGGCGCTGGCGAGGCCGCGGCGGGCTCGGGGGCGGCGGGGCCGGCGACGGGGGAGCCCCGAGAGAGCCGGGCGGCACCGAGAGCGCTACAAGCACCACGCGGAGCAGCCACCCTCACCCCCTCGCGGGGCCCGCGCAGCCGCCGCGCACGTTACCGCGCGGAGCGGGGCGGAGCGGGGCGGAGCGGGGCGGGGCGGAGCGAGCCGTCCCCCCTCCCTCCCCGTGCGGCTCCTCCCGCCGCCGCCGCCGCCGCCGCCGCCGCCGCCGCCGCCGCCGCCGCCTCGCCGGCCTCCCGATGCCGAGGAATGGATAGAGCGGCTGCTCTGCGGGCCGCCGGCATGCTGGAGAGGAGGGAGCGGCGCGGCGCGGCGCGGGGCTCGCCGGCCGTGCGCAGCACGCTGCAGCAGTGCGGGCTGCTCCAGGACCTCATCGACATCTCGCTGTCCAACCTGCGCGGGCTGCGCACGCAGTGCGCCGCGTCCAACGACCTCACGCAGCAGGAGATCCGCACGCTGGAGGTAGGAGCGCGCCGCGGCCTCCGCCGCCGCGTCCCGCTGCCCCTCCGCGGCCGCGCGGGGCAGGTGCGGGGGAGCCGCGGGCGCTGCCGCGCGGGCGGGCGCTGCCGCTGCCCCCGGGCTGCGCTGCGCGCTGCGGGGAGCCGCGCGGGGGAGGCGCGGAGCGAGCGGGGCCGGGCCGGCCTGACAGCTGCGGCCGCCGGGAAGGGGGGTCACCACGGGCGCGCTCTGACATCCGGCACACGGGAAGGGGAGCGGGCGAAATAAAGCTGGGAAACAATAGGGGGTCGCTCTGGAACAAGCGCTTGGAAATCTGTCGTTTTTCCTTCTCCCATCCTCTGCGTTCCTTTAACTGAACTCTTTTTTTCCTCTGAGCAAATAGCCCTCAGAGGTAACAGAAAATGTGGCCATTCTTTATAAAACAACATTTGTGTAGACTTTTTTGCAACCTTAGTGAGGGCTTTTTCAGTACTCCAGCAATAACAATCAGCATTGTCTTGGGAAACCATCATTGGAGCTTGGCTTGTGACCCCTTCTGAGAGGAAACCTGTATTTGCAAGAGATAAAGGTGGGCTCTGCTCTTCAGGGCCTTCCCAAGGCAGCGGGGACCCTTCTAGTGATAGTTTGCGGCCTGTGCGGGCATTCCTCTTAAATGTTTAACTGTGTAAACAAAGCGGTGCCACATTCACTGGCGATCGTGAAACTTATCCCTTAGTGGCAAACATTCCCCTCTGATTTCCCTGGGATTTCAAGCAAGTGCTAAATCTTTGCCAACATGTGATGCTGCGGTCATAGGGACGGATGGACTCTCTGCCCTTGGTTCTGTTTTTGATGTCCTGAGATCCCTGGTGTCTGCTGCTCTCTATGGGTGCCCTGCAAGTCACTGAAGGGCTTTATGGGTGGCGATTAGTGGCTACTCGTGGTATAGATACTGCGCCTGCAGCCCCATTGCAATTACAGTTTGAATCTGTACGTCTTTTCTAGTCCTGTGTGGATTTTTTTTTTCATGGGAAAAAGGTATAAAAAGCTTAGCTGTATCAGTGTAACTGGAAAAATATGTGGCAAAGCCACAAGCATATGATAAAAAGTGAGATAGACACAAGGAACAAAGTGAAAGCAGGAAGCTTTGCCTGGGGAAGGGAGGAGACTTGACTCTGGAAGTCGAAGTAGCAGCTCCTGAGGCCAAATATGAGGCTACATGTCTGTGTGTTTTCAAAGCAGTCTGTCATATCTGTCAAAAATCAGCATCTATTGATTTCCTTTTTTTTTTTCCCTGAAGGAATAAAAAAGAGGGGAAGCATCCATAATAAACTTTCTCTATAACTCTTACATTCCCCAAAGTTTTGTGATGCCCTGTTTTTGTGTCAAAAGTATGACGTGACAGGTGGAGGAGCACCTTGAAGGGAGAGACCTATCTTGGCTGTCAAACTGGGGCTTGCACAGCGCCGTGCATGCCCATCGTTGCTCCAACAATCACAGGGAGAACTTTATGTGAAGCAGGAGGAAGAGAAAGGAATAAATGTGTGTAGGAACTGCTTGCAAATAACTTGTTGGGTGATGAGATGTTACAGGAGCTGACCCTGTTTCATGGGCAGCAGAGCTGTTTCTTAGAAGGGCCGGGAGTTTCCCTGCAGGGCAAAGTAGACTCTGTTAGTTTGGTTATTAACAGAGCGGGTTCTCACATACCACACGGTCTCGTATCTTTTAATTTTATATGTGCTGCTGAATAAGTGCTTGAGTGTTTTCTTTTTACCCAGCACTTTAGTGCATGGCTGGCTTTCAGCTGCGGCCTAGCAGGTTTACTCACTTCTCAAGTAGACTTCAAAATGAAATGGAAAATAATGGTAATCTTAAACCATACCTAAGAGAAAAAATGTCTTGCCATGTGGTGAGCACCAACATTCCTGCAAGCGTCCTTGGAAAGAAGCAACTCTTGATGGCTTTTAATTTTGTCCTTATGCTAATTCCTTGCGTGACTTATAAATTGTTTCTGCACAGTTTTAAGCACATTATTTTTCGTCATAATCCTTTGTGAAAGTGGTAGTTCTCTGGATGGGAGGCTGGTTACAGGACAAGCCCTGGCATCATTGGAACTAACTATGTTCCTAGCAGGGAAGCAGCTGATGCAGGTGACGGTGGCAGCGCCAGGTTGGGCTGCAGGATACGCTGTGAAAATCTGCCACCCTTTAAGCCAAGCTATCCTCGTTGCAGTTTGGCTGGAATATGTGACTGGGGTCACTAGTGACACTAGCGTGCCAAGATACCTGACCTCTTCCTCAGTGCTGCCTTATGTGGAGCACCATTGGAAAGCGTAATATCCCATTGGAAAGCATGAGATCCCATTGGAAAGAGCGACTCCAGTGGTGCTGTGTCACAGATAAATCTACCAGTGCACAAACCGCTCTTGCAAACTGGCTGAATGTTACCTGTGGATTAAGTGTATTGGAACTTGCAATGACAGATCCTGATGCATTTGGCAATTTGTCTAGAAAAGTCCTATCCCAGAGCAGAAACAAATGTGAAAATGAGGCAGTATGTGGGGAGAGGAGGAGGAATTACAATAGCCCAGATGGTCACTCTGGAAATTGGGCACGCTGTGGGAAGACATTTGCAAGTTGTGAGCAGGAAGAGTAATGAATTTTTTAGTCCAAACAGTAACCTGTAGCCACATGTTTATGAACCTTACTCAGCTGAAGACTTCCTTTTCCAGCAGGACTTACGTAAGAGACCTCCTCTTACTTCATCTTACTTCTTGCATCTATGCAACATATGTATTTTTCATCTAAGGTGCTTGTCTTTTCGTTGTTGTTGTTAGACTTACTTGTTCTTTTTTCCTAAGCTTATGCACTTACGCAAAATACACTTCCAAGGAGAATGTTCGGCTTGCAGAGAGGCACAACTCTATATTATTAGTAAGTTTGTAGACTAGTTCTTTCATTTGTCAAAGTGCATCTCTGTGATCAGAATTTGCACATGATAATGGAATTGGCTTATCTTCCACTACAAATTTTATATAAATACTTGCACAATAAATTAGTAGCAATATTTTAACTCACCTGGAGTGTCTGGGCTGAGCTCTGATGAGGAGGTTATCGTGCAGATGAACATAGGGAAAGGGCCTCTTCTTCACTTTTCGGTCAAAGTTTGTGCATGCTTCTTTCCTGAGCTTGTATTCTGTGATGTGCTAGTTAGGAAGCAAGAAAAGAAGTATCAGAGAAAGGCCTTGTGCTGCCTTTGTCCCCATAAGCCTGCTCTTGTGGCCACTGCGTTACTTTAAAATGTAGTGATTCCTGTTGGTCTTGATGCGGCATCAGCTCGGAGACCATTCAGAGCAGCGGGCTCCGGCAGACGTTCTGCACGCCCGCAGTTGGGGCTGGTACGTGCGTGTCCACACGCACGGGCAGGAACCCGCGGTCTGCCGTGACTGCCGAGCCTCCTCTCCACACGTGAATGCTCTGTGCGGCATGTTCAGATTTGATCTAATCAGTCAGTCGTCTGACTTGAACTTCAGCTGTATCTAGCCAAGCCCGTGGCCAAGCCCGGCTTGCACAGATACCACCCGAACAGAGCTTGGTCTGCTGCTCGAGCCCAACCGCAGCGGCTTTGCACAAGGAAATCCCCCCTTGCTGTTACGGCTGCACAGGGATGACAGATGTGCAGACATGAGTCAGCTGCGGTAGGACCCAAACGGACCAGCCGTGCAGCTCGTAAATAGGGACACCTACCGAGGAGGCGTCACGTGGCACCCCATGTGTTATGCACAAAAAGTTGACTTTCATCGCAGACAGGATGATTCTTCAGGCGCTTGGGACCAAACCTTCACTTTTCTTTGCAGGCTAGGATTTCCCACCCTTCTTTTCAGCCAGTAGGGGTATTTTCTCTTGCTAAAACTGTAATGAAGAGGGGCTCGGGCGCCCTCGTTGCTGCGGGGCTGGGGTGCGCGCCTGGTACCTGCCTCGCAGCTTTCCCTGGGCTCTGCACACAGGCCGGGGTGTGCGGCGGGGAGACACAAAGGTCACTGGGCGCATGCACAGGCGCTGGGGAGAGTCCCGCTGGCAACGCAGACCTGCGCCAGGATGCTTCTAATTTCTGTCGGAGCCAGGGGTTATGCAAGCGCACAGCAGCCAAAGAGCTGGGTGGGGGGCTGCCTGCCAAGAAGGGAGCGGGTAAAAAAGAAAAAGGGGAGGGGAAGGAACAAGCAGAGATATTCCTTGGAAATAGCCTGCAGCTGGCTGCAGAAGTGCTCTGGTTTAGCCTAGGAGTGGGATGCTGTGTTTAGCTTATTGGGAAAAGCACATGGTGGCAGAAAAGACACAGCTTTCCTGAAGAAAAGCCTGAGTTGAGCAGGACTCAAGGCAGAATATTCACTTGCTTTGACTTTCTTTGAGCCTTGCTGGGTGTTAGTCAGGGTATTGTTTAGCAGTATCTAAAAAGCACTCATGCTTCCTGCAAATTAAAGTGATGGATAAAAACAAATCTGTTTTCAGTAGGAATCTCCCCTCCCAAACATGAGCTGTGAATTTTGTAGCCTGACTATTTTTGCTTGGTCAGAATTGATTCGGGGAAGGGGAGTGCAGCAGATGGTGCCTGCAGAACGTGTGGTTAGATGGCTGTGACTCAAATACAATTTCCAGGCTTTAGTGAATGAGAGGAAAAAGAGCTTCCTGTTTTTAGCAGCAGTTTTCCTAAAAGGAGAAAATAAGGAGTTTAATGTGTCCCTTTTTCAGGTCAGGAGATTGTGGAGGGCTGCGGCCTGAAGCCTGTCGCAGGTTCGTGGCTCTCCCCTGCTGCAGAACTCAAAGCGCTGACTCCTTGCTCGTAACCTGCAGCTCATTGCTGTAGTATTTTTCTCTATGTGTCATCTTCTGCCCCCTCACCTTAGACAAAGGAGGATGCCCTGGCCCATCACAGTGCAAAGCAAGCCACCAACCAGGGTGTCCTATTAAAAATGCCAGCGGAGGGACATAACTTGATGCTCTGCATTGTAGAGGACTGACTGTGCG